TCTTTCAAATTTATTTGAATTAAGAAAGAAAAAAAAATAACTTTTATTGCAAAATACAATTATTACAACAAAAAAATAATTATACACTATAACGTGAGTTTTAAAAATTTGCAATATTGCAAGGAATTAAAGTTCAGTTAATTTTAAATTACTTTCCGTATTGGATATAATTAGGTAAAAAATTTATGATTGATGAATTGAAATGATTTATCTACATACTTATATGATGATTACCTTATTAAACTAAATTTTACACATTTTTCAAAACATGAATTAAACATGAATTAAGGACGAATTATTACACTAATTAATGTACCCTTGAAAATAATCGCTGTGGAAAAATTTGTGGTAAAACTCTTTTAATTGTATAAATAAAAAAATAATGAAACAAACTTATCTATTTGTACTGGCTCACCACCAAATAATTTTGTGTAAAATCTTCAAAATAAAATTTAATAATTATGAGTTAGAATTTATATTTTAATTTTTTAAGAAAAAATTTACATTTGTAGCAAAAGGTTTTTGCTTTTTCTTTTTGAAATTAAAAATTTTCGTTTTCAATTAACTAAAGTATTGCAAAACAAAGCTATCAAAAATTTATGTGAATTACCCTTAAGAACATCATCTGACCAACTATATGAACAGCTTAATCTGATTCATGTCAATCGTCAACTAAAACTGCTACAAATTGAATATATACATAATATTTTACAAAAACACATCTTAACAAACACTCACTTTACACAAGGAAGGAACCCAGATCCATAGCTATGCAACAAGAACTGCTACAAATTACAGAACAGACAAGGGTGGATCCAGTAAAATATATAATGCTGCTGTATCACAATACAATAAAATTCCTACGTGGATGAAAACAGTAAAAAATAAATCATTCAAATTTCATAAAAAATAAATCATTCAAATCGTACAACTAATAACTCATCTTGGTTAATAATGCAACTAATATCCGAAAATGCTTCCAAATAAATAGATAAATCAAAATTTGTCCTCAGTCAATAAAACTAAATCTAAATTTTGTAATCCGTTAATTCTCTAATCAATTGAATGTTTCTTATTCTTTTTCTTATTATTTGATAACTATTTACAACTTTTATAGAATTTTTCTTCTGTATTTACAACATATATCTCTTTAGAAAAACTTTAAAACATTTTGTAATACTGCAATTTATTTTTTTATTTAATTTTTTTTTTTTTTTGCAATTTGTTCTTAATTTTAAATTTAGCTTATTTATTATGTAATTTTATACAAAAATGATGGTATGTTATGTAATTAAACATTGTACACTCTATACGAGCAGACCTTGCTCTTCAGAGAAATAAATAAATAAATAAATAAAACTTATTGTGTCGAAGTTTAGTGCTTTTATTTTTGGGAAGTTCCTGAAAAAAATTTGATGTTTGAATTTGTAAGTAGTTGCACTTCTAAAATTATGCTGTTATAATTATTTCGCTTTGAATTTTTATGGAGGTGTATACTAAGCATATTAAAATAATTATATAAGCTTAATTTAAAATTTTTTGTGTAAACCAATAAAACTTAGGTTAATGAAATTATTCACGCCTTTAAATATAGTTTAATAAAATTTAATTTTTATTTCACAATATTTAATAAAAACTATTGGTTTACATAAGCTCACACATAATTTTTGTAATTTTGTTGACCGGATTGCATACAATAAGGGAAATTGTGTGATGGCACCAAATTTCGGTTGTCGAATGCTCCATGTTTGGGAAGAATAAATAAATTACTTTTAGCAAAATGCTAGTTTGTCGATATGTCAGCCTGTGTGGGCACTATTGCACGCGTGTATCTGAAGTTTAGATGAACCGATTTTGAAGCAAATTTTTATCTAAGTTTATTTTGGATATATTTATGGATTGTTCAACTCTTGGAGTGTCAGTCTTCGGACACTGGAAATTTTTATGCCAATTTAATCGTTTTTAAGAAAATATTTAACAGATTTTCTTGAAGATTTTGTTGAAATTTAAAGAAATATCTGAATTCAATTCGGAATGTATATAGTCAACCTCCCAAAAAGAATCAAATTTATATATTTCTGGGTATGTTAACCTAAACCTTGTGAAACACTTTCTGCTGATTGCGTGCTGATAACATCAAATTTTTACATTATTTCCCAAAATTTTTTATTTTAATTTAACAATTTTTTTAACGATTTCGTTTCGTGGATACTTAATTGAACAGGTTGTGGTATAACTAAAAATAATTTTAACAGGAAAATTAAGTTAACACCTAAAATTTTGCATATATTTTTTTATTGAAAAATTCAACACCTCTATTTCCTACTAGAATAAGACAGATGTCATTAATAGATTTTGAATATCATAGTACATATACATACACAAACCTATTATAACAGCATATAAACACGTAATAATATAAGTAAGCAGATTTGTATACCAGAATTCTTTGTTTACTCTTTTATAGAAAAATATATTATGAAAATATCTACTATTTATTGAAAAAAACCAAATTCCAATATATCTAAATAAATATATCTAAAACCTATGAAATATAGACTTTAGCAGCATTTACATTCTTAGAATAATAAAATAGGAATGAAAAGTATCCTAAAAATCGAAAAATTCCTAAACGTGAACAAAATTTAAATACTCGTATAAAGGCTAGGTACAAAAAAAACAGAAAAAAATTTTTTCTAGCAAACTTTCAAATAAAATGTAAAAGTTTAACAGTCCTTTTCGTTACTCTGTCTTATTGTCATATACCGATTTTCACAATTTTCGATAAATATACAAAATCAGTTATTGTAGAAAATTTGTAATTACATTTAAATTCCTTGAATTTAGCTGCCCTAATTTATACACTTATCTACACGTATTTCTTCTTGTAGGAATATATAACGATAATTATTATATTCTTGATCAGTTAATTATTAGAATTTATTTATTTTACCTGGCAACTGATAATGTTATTGAGATCGTTAAAATAAAAGAAAATCGTAACCCCATTAAATGTTATCCTTACTCTTTACTTATTTTATCATATACAATATAATTTAAGACCTAGAATTAGGAAATTTTCATCAAATATCGATTACTTTATAACTTTATTTACTTAAATATTAGTTATACAACCAAAAACATTAAAGTCCGTAAAACACAACTTAGAAAATTTTTTTCTCTGTTTTGCTGATACAAATAATTTTCTGTCTGTAAAATCTATGTCGTAAATTGGAAACAGGGATTATAGTGTTAAAAGATATTCAGAGTTTTAAATATTTTTGGCGGATGAAAAAATGAAAAAATCTGATGTGATCAGCACATAACCGACCGCAATATGTATTGTCTGGTTAAGTGAAAGTGTTACAGTATATTATAAAAATACCTGTTAAATACTTCTTTCCAATTTTTAATAAGCTTATAGTTAACTACCTAGAAAAATGTAAATTTGGCTTTTAGTAGAGTTTCACTTTGTGCTACTCGAATTCCCTGACATGCTCGCCAGTAAATTTCGGTAACAACCAGAACTCAAATAACAAATTTCAACAAATTCCATCAGTTAGTTCCGTAGACATGGTAAAACATGTAATCCGAGCCCTAATCTGTCCAAAAAATTTATATGTTCATTGTTGTATTACGCAGAATTTAAATATTAAATTTCAATGCAATAGGTTGATTATTTCTCTTTATATACGCAAAAATGTATATTTGGCCCGCAGTAAGCATCCAGTTGCTGACCCCTGATTTCCTCCAAAAATTAGGAGGTTTCGCGTACGGTCGAATGAAGCTTATATATGAAATTAAAAGTAAATCTGTTGAATATTTTCTTTTAAATGATCAAAAATGTAAAACAAGCCCGCTAAAAAATCTAGTTCAATCCGTATCATAGTCGAAATAAACTCACATAAAAAATTTAATCAAAATCGGTTCAGCCGAACTTGAGATACATGCGTGCACACACAGACCGACAGGTTGCTAAAAATAGATTATTTACACTTCCCTACCATGAAGAAAATCGTTCCAACGGAAAACTCGATATACAAAATTTGTTGCCATCACTATATAACCTACTTATAATATACACAATGCGGTCGGTAAAGAGAAAAAAAATGGGAATAATAAATTTAACATGAGTTAGAAAATAAGAAGTATTTTTTAAGTAAATAAAAAGAAAACAATGGTAAATAGACTTTTTATTTTTGATATTTTCAAATGGTTTTGGATAAATGAAAAGAATTCATATTAAGAAAATTGCTAAAGACTTTGTACATAAATCTGTTTTGTTGATTAAAATAAGTTTTTTTAAAAATAAATAATATTGAATCGAAAGTTTTTTACTTCAGCTTAAATTCTTTAACAGGCAAATTGCTTCATTTAATAATTTTTATTCAAAATAATTTTTTTGAAAATTATTTATTTAATTCCAATAGACGTGATCGGATTATGTTTGATTGACCTAATTGGATTTCTTACGGAGGGGGTCATAACATGGCCTTGAAACCGCGGTCTTCTATACGCATGAATCCAAAATCAATGAGGGTTTGGTCGTAGGTGTGTACGGAGAGAATGTAAACATCACAGGGGCCCTCGGAAGCTGCCCATCGATATTTCAGCTGAATCATATGCCATAGAGGTATGTGCTGTAGAATGTATCAGGAGGAACATTAGAAGAACCAGGATATTTATTATGTCGGAAAGTAGGGTCGTTCTTGAGGCCCTCTCATCTGATGTAGTACGATTTAGGCTGCTGAAGGATTGCATTGACAAGCTAAGTGTCCTGGCTAAGCACATCAAATTAACCTTGATGTGGGTGCCGAGATTCTTCGATGCAGACGGGAATGAGAAAGCTGACGGTCGCCAAGGAGGGGGGCGGCGACTCACTTCATTGAAACGGAACCATTGCTTGGGGTGCCAAGGACAACGGTTCTGCATGCTCTGAGTGACTGGGAGGGGCGAGCCAGGGTTTAACACTGGGACAGCTGCCCGTGCTTGCCTAAGAAATGTGTGTCCCCATTGCGACTATGGGAACGAAAGCTTTGCTTGGATTTAAGGCTATTGGTGAAAGCTCTCACTCGACACTGCCTCTAGATGGTCCACCTAAAACGAAAGGCAGGGCATGAGACGGAGTCTGTCATTTTTGCATGAAGGAGGACAAGACGATGGAATACTTATTTTGTGAATGTGAGGCTGTTGCTCGCCTACGACTTTGATTCTTCTTGGAGGGGGGCTTTGTGATCCGCGGGGAGATCTCGCGGCCCGATTTGGCCGCTAAACTGCGGTTTGTCAGGGGCCTGGGTATAGGGCTAATGTTGATGGGGATGAGAATCATAAAAGATTCTATGGGTAGACGTGAAAAGGCCTCGGTCCTTAAGAGCCTCGGTCCCAGGGGGAGTATTCATTCTTTTCTAGTATTGATTATTTTATTTTATTGTTTAATACCTTTTTCGTTATTGATAAATAAACGGAATAAACCTCAGATAAGGAGTAATCTTAAAAAAATTAACAAGAAGTATCTGTATAAATAATATTGAGTTCGTTTTTAAGTAGACTTTTTGTAGCTAAGTTTGAGTAGTTTTTAAGTAGACTTTTAGATATGTAATTTAGAATTGTATTTTATACACTTATATTATAGAGAAGGAACGCAATGTATATAAATTTTTAACAGGAATTTTGTTAATAATTTAATATTACCATTATCAATGTTACGTAAATTTTCTTTTTTTTTTGGCAATGAAGAAGCAGGTGGCTTGGCTCGAGAGCGAGTACCATGAATTAGGAAATTATATTTAAAGTGTACTAAAGCCTTTTCTTTTTATACAAAAGATTAAAATATAAGTTTTGATTATCTTTAAACTAAGTTTTTAAATACTTTTTTGTAAAACCAATATGTGCTCAATTAAATGAAAAATTGAATTATTTAATTTTATATCTATAATACTTCTCAACTTACTTCAAAATTACATTAATGAACTTTTTAAAATAATTAAATATTCAAGAAATCTTGATATATTCTGCTTTAAATTAGTTTTCCATTACATACTAAAATTAAATTCTACAAAAAAACTTTACCGTGCTCTTTAACATACATTCATAAATTCATTTTTAAGAATGAATACGAAATGCCCTTAAGAAGTTCAATAATACAATTAATTTATTAAATGATGAGTACTATTAACAATTCTTAATTTAATTGCTTTTAGAATCAAGTTGTTCATCTTATATATTCTCTTTTGAAAATACTTATAAAAGTGTGCAAATATCATCTTTATTACTTGTCAGAAAACATGAGCGAATTAATTTTTTCAATGAACTTCTTAAAAGATATTACATTTCTTTTAAATTCCATTCTTGAACTTTACTTTTTCTTTCAATAGCAAAATTACCTACACATATGAAAGGAGGAATAGAAAAATTTCAATAACGAGCTATAAAAAAATATTATTATATGGAAAATAAGTAAATAAAAATCCTCATACTTTCCTCTCTTTGAATTATCTATGGAATTAATTGATCCTTCTTCAAGAAAATAACAGCTTTATACGAGATACGTGCACAAAGCCGAAACTGTATATTATATTATTTATTATTAGAGTAAATTTAATATTATGAGATTGAAAAACACGTACATATAAGTATATATTTATTGATTTTTATTCCTTTCACATACAAGCCCAACTATATTATAAAAGATATCAATATAATTGCAATCTCTTAAAAATATTTTAAAATATAGCAAAGCGAAAATACGTTTTTTTGTTGTATTCTACCTTGCTTTCACTCCATAGGTAGGGGAATGAGATCATTATCTTAGGTCTTATAAAGCTCGCTTTTCCATTAAATATTTTCAACAAAAATTGGAATGCATCTTACTATGTGGGTTTTGACGAATGTGATAGGATTTGATAATTATTTATGGACCAGCAATTTAGAGAATTATATGTTTATTTAGTTTAGACATAGAGGTAACTAAATTGATATAAGTGGTCGATGGCGAGTTAGACCGTATAACCGCAACCTTCAAGGTTTTTATGCAAATATTATTTCTTTTTAAATATTTTTTGTTGGCATAAAAAGTTTTGAAAATTTGTCAACATTTTAATTGTCGTACAAATATTGAACCAATTAAGATTTAACAAATAAAAGCCTCCAACTGTTATTATTTTTTAAAAATTTATAATAAAACACATGCAACAGAAAAAAATCTAATATAGACATGCAGAAAATGAAAAGGAATTGATTTACTTCTGGACTTGTACTCGTATATTTATTTACGCGAATTAAAAAAAAATTCAAAATTGAAATTTTTTTCGAAGAATTTTTTTTTTTAATTTCTAACAACTTGATTGAATTGATTCGATCGACATGAAATATTTTTATATTCTTACGAATGTTCTTCACTTTTTAGCACTTGTCGAAAAAGAATTTGAAAAGTGGTTATGAGTTTCACTCTGTTCGTCCGCGAACTTGTTTACAAGACTTCTAGATCGTTGAATGTAGAAAGCTGAACTTTAATAGACCTTTACTAGAAACTAATCTCCGCAGAAGAAAATTTTTACGTATCTCACACCCTCTAAAAGTTATAACCTTCCAAAACCTTGTAGGAGTCTGAACCTGTAATAGCTTTTGAACACTTATACAATATTTTATTTTGTTGGAAGATAATTTTTCTCTACTTCCATGCTCTCTCAAGTAATCGCCCCTCGAAATTGGTAAAATTTGATTCTTTGGCACCTTATATTTCCGAAACGTCAAACTTTTCCAAATTTCTATAAATGCAGAAAGCTAACTGCAAATGTCATGACATTAAAAAATATAATAGTTTCTCTTAACCCTTAAATTCGAGTCTTATGTTAACGCCTATTTAAATTTTTGTTTGTTTTATTTTAAAGATTACATACATTGATCATCCTAAATGTATGCAATCTTTGAAATATATTCGTATACTCGTATGAACGAAATTAATTTTAATAATGTAATAAAAGGCATATATGTTTTTAAAAGCGTTATTTTCAAAAGTGCTACATTACAAACCATTGATTTGCTCTAACTTTATTTATAATAAAATAATGAAGAAAAAACTCAATGAACTTTTAAATTAAATTATATTTATCCTGAAAGTCAGTCCGACTTATAAAGCTGCAAGACGCACATTTTAATGTAAATAATTAAGAAAAAATGTTGAAAAAAGAAAGTAGGGCTTTTAAAAACAATCTATTAAATTATAAATGCGTTATTAAAATTACAAATGCATTATTAAATATAGCAATGTTTGAAGAGGTGTTAACATAACTCTCAAATTTAAGGGGTAATTGCGTGAGTTAAGCAAAATAATTATATTTTTAATGGCAAGGAAGTTACCATTAACTTTTTGCGTTTATAAAAATTTCAAAAAGCTTGCAGTTTCGGAAATATAAGGTCGCGAAAATGCAAATTTTAAAAATTGCAAGAGGCGATAACTTGGGAGGGAGTGGAGGTGGGAAAAAAATTCCTTCTTACAAAAAGAACTATTTAATAGTGTCAAACAATATTAATAGTTAATACAAACTGAGGTCTAGAAGAAAAAAAATCAATATTTAAAGAAAAAACGATTTTAGAAAACGAAATTTTAATGGCCATTTTTTTTTTTATTTCTTTTTTATTTATGCAAGATGTATTCATTCAACACTTTATGTATTAAGCGCTGTACAAACTGGCAATTAATACACATAATTTTGCATTACCAGAAGTTTATGCAACTACAAGTTTATTACCATAAATTTTGTTTTTATTGAGTGGGAACACTGGCTCAATAAAAACAAAATGTATCCAATTTCGAGAAAAAAATGTATCCAAAATGTGTCCAGCCTCCTAATGTAGAATTATTATAAAAAGTCGTCTTGTTTTATACAAATTAACTTATAATTAATATTAATTTGCTTTATTCAACAATGAGAGTTTCGTTATTTATAGTAAATTCTTTAAGAAATCACACGAAATTTCCATTGCATTTTAAAATTTAAGGTCAGAAAATATATGTCCCGCAGCAAATAACCTTTTATAGGAAGATAAAGAAATTTCGTGTTCGAGAAAGAAATGTATCCATATTTCAGCAAAATTTTAAAATGTAGCCAATTTCGACATTTTACAGATTTAAATATCTTTGCATCCAAGCTAAATTTTAAAGTAAAAATGTGTCCAAATGAAATACACTGAATTATCGATCGACCTTCAAAATCTTAAAATCGAAAACAAAATTGAGTTTTTTAATCTACATAATGCCTGAAAAGAACTTGAATAACTGAGTATTACTTCAATTTGTTAAATAGTGTGGAAATTCACAAAACTAACTGAAAATTTTTCAATGACAAATTAAATCTAAGCTCCGAATAAAATCCAGCCCTGATTTTAACTGACCTGAAAAAATGTATGCAATTAAATTAATATCTATATGTATGTATATTAGTATGTACAATTAATAAAATAAAATTTTAATCAAAAATAAAATTACGAGCAAAAAATTCACTGTTATGTCGACGAATGATTTTTTTTATTTACGCATTCATTTAATTTAGATCATAAAATATTTTCCACAACAATTTCAATAAAAATTTAATTTATATTAAAATTTTTTCAAAAAAACAATAAACAAAAATTTACTTCATAAGCTTTTATAAAATAGAATTTCAAATTAATATTTTCGTAGAAAAATTTTCGTATTTGAAATTAATATTTTCATAGAAAAATATTAATTTAAAATTATGTTAAAATTCCTAAAAAATCAATACCAATTTCAAAGCAATTTTTTCGCCGTATATACATTTTATATCTTTTATTTTCATAAAAACTATGTGTTAGCTAGCAAGCGTTGTTAGCTGTTGACTACTTCACCAGCATCACTGTTTTAAAGGAAGAATGTATGTATGTACATATATAATGGAATACCAACTTTGAAAGAATTATGTCTGAATAGTTCCTCGAATTAAAAGCAACAACAAATAGAAATACAGTTTCTTTTTTTAATCATTTTCAAAATATGTTACACATATACTTTGTATACCCATCCATACCTAAACTAATACAAATATAATATAGTAATATCCAAACTATATACAAGCACAAAAATGGGTCGTAGTTC